TCAGTTTTTTTACTATTTCCTTGGATGAGTGGGCAGACAAGGTCTCTGAATATTTAAGAGAAGATTCTAATATGAATATTAAGTTAAAACAAAGAAAAAACATATACTCAATGAAACATCCTTGAGGGAGAAGAAAATCTCCAGGAAAAAAAATCATTAATATCTTCAGAAAGAGATGTCACAACCATAAAAGAAAACTTTTTTGGTATCTAGAGAACAAAGAGATCATGGCAATTAAAACCATGATAGAAATGAAAAAAAAAATTAAAAGAAAAAGTTAAGGAAATCACTTGTAAAGTGAGACAAAAAGATAGAGAATTTGAGAGAAAAAAATATGAAAATGAGAGGATCAGACCTCAGTATCCAACATCTAAATAACAGACTGCCAGGAAGGGGAGACACAGAAATGGGAAACATCAAAGAAGTCTACTCAAGAGAAAAAAATAGAAGACATAAGGTGTATTGGTTGTGCCTGGAAGATGAGATTTCGCCCCTCTTGTATGTTTTTCTTTATTTTCCAGATTTTCTGTAATAAGTATCTTTTCGAACTAGAGGGAAATGTGTGGTTTTAATATTACCCACATCGCCCTAGAACATTTAACTCATAGGTGGTCCATTTTCAATAGAATGAAGGTGTAAAAAGCTCATGTCAAAAGGGACAACCTAAGTTCAGTCATTTAATCAGAAATTATGTCACCAGGACCAAGGTCAGACTCATGTCCCTGTCTACAGGGAAATACTGGCCTAGGGGGTCACTCCAAAATCAGCCACAGTGCCATGTTGGGTATTTGATTTTTATTCCCATCTGAGCATCTTTGTTACTGAACACTCAGAATTCTCCATGAATCCCCCTTGGGTCTTTTGGGTCATCAGCCCCTGGCATATCAGAAGAGGAACCATTCTGTTCTACAGTCTTCTATGCATGGCTGAGCTGTTCCTGCTCCTCTCATCTACTTCCTCAAGCCTGCAGTGTATTGTCCCTCTTACAAAAAAGATTTGACTCTTAAAAACCTTCCAGACTCAAGGTGGCTTTTTAGTAGCTGCTGACCTTTCGCACTGGGGGCTATCTTGGCAGCTACCTCTTCCTCATCCTGTAAGTTTGTGAGCATATTGTCTCACTGGTGGAAGACGTGAGCATGAGCTCTGGGGCTGGAGAGGGAATGTTGAGGCTTCCAGTTGATTCTGACTATTGTAGTATTTTCTTGGAAGAAAGCCAGTACAGAGATTGAAAGCCAAACCACGGAACGTATCTGTGATTTAACTTCCACACGCTGGTGTCATTGTAGTTCAGTGGTTATTATTAGCTTGTTATTAACAGTTTGGATGACCGGTATTATGTTTCCATTGTTTAACTTTTTATTATGGAAACATCCAAAAGTAGAGTGGTGGTATCACAGCCCCCCATGTACCATCAGCTGGCTCCAGCAGTTACCCACTCAGGGTCCACCCTGTTCCAGCTCTGCTCCCACCTGCTTCCAACCCCCACGCCCTGGGTTATTTTAAAGCAAATCCCAGGCATCGGATCACTTCGTACAAAAATATTTAGTACATAGCTCTAAAGTACAAGTGTTGTTTAAAAGAAAGAAGAACCACATTATTATCGCACCTAAAATATCCAGTTACCATCCCTTTCCCCAGTTGTCTCAGATACTGTTTTTATAGGTATTTTTTGAAATTGTGACCCATATAAATCCGTACTTCACTTGATATGTTTCTTAAGTATTTTAAAAAATCCCTCACCATCTCTGCAATTTATTTGTTAAGGAAATGGGGTCATTCTTCCTCTCTACATTTAAAAAAAAAAAGCACAGCATATGAGAAAAATATATTTCACGTCTAATTAAAATCGTCATCTCATCGAGACCCTTCCTGGCTGCTTTAGGTACAATTCCGCTCTCCCCCAAACCCTTGGCCCTTTATATCCTCCCGGCCCTTTATATCCTCCCGTCCTGTTTTCTTTTTCCTCTTCCACTCAGCGTTACACACAGCTATATTCCCCATACATTAATATATTTTCCTTTGCAATATCTGCCTCCTTTCTAGAATGTAAGCTCCACGAAAGCAGGTGTTGTGTGTGTTCTGTTCTCTGCTGGATCCCCGGCACCGGCGTTCTGAACGAAAGCGGGCATAAAGGCAGGGCAGAGACAGGGTGAGGCTGGCTCAACAGGGAAGTGGCAGAGGGTCGCAAAGGAGCAAGGAAAGTATCTCCCCACGCGTCGCCTTTTGATTTATGTTCTCGTGCTCGCTTCAGCAGCACATACACATTCTCCACCTGCATCAGAGGCCCTACAGGGTTCTGGGAGCCGCTCAGGAGATGGCTAGCTTTTGCTTGTCACTCGAGGGTGGAGGGACCTCTCTGTAGCTGCTGACTGGTCCCTTTGTGGTCTCAAGCTCAGGCCCCGTCAACCATAGGCTGTTTTGACCCGTTTTATTGACAGAGCCTGTGTTGTTTGGGGCTACAAGGCTGGTCCGTTCAGATCACCACCCGCTGTGTGCAAAGATGCTTTTAACAAGGACAGTAGTCTTGGTTTAGCTCGATTCAAAACCTGTTTCCCAATCTGCAGTGGGGCTGGGCTTCCACTTGGACTGGGGAACTACACGCCGTCCTGGAATGTGGCAGGAAATACCCGAGTCACCACTATGCGGTTAGCAGAGTGGCCTCAACCAGCTCCCTCCACTGCACCTTAGTGTTTTTGTCTATAAAATGGGGATAATATCCATTTACTTCTTCAGGCTCCTGTGAATCTTTTCTGCTGTCCCGTGAGGTGGGGGATGGTGGTGCTAATCCTCCAGCAGCAGCATGAGAAGGCAGCATTCTGGCCACTTCAGGGGACAATGGGGGTAGCAGTGGCTAAGGAGTCAGAGGTCAACCTCTCCTCTGGGCCAGGGAGGGCCACGCTAACTAGGGGAGGGAGTGTAGCTGAATCCCAGGGCCCCTTCGCCTGCTGTAGGATAGGGAGAAGAGATGCATCTGATCTGTTCTAGGTGTGGAGCTCTTGCCATCCCTCCCCTCCTAGGGGTCTTGGCACCCTCAGCAGAGAGTCCTGGAGCAGAACAAGGGACAGGAAGCCCCACACTGTACTGACTGGGTTCCAAAGCATTGCTTGGAGAGCATTTCTAGCTTTGGTTACGAGGTTCTTTCCACACTGACAGAGCATCACCGGGACAGCCCAACCCATTCCTAGTCTGGGTCTGTGCCTTTTCCAGTAAGATATGAGGTGTCCCGTGATGAGAGCCCACGGCAGTGACGAGGGTTTCATTCGTCAGCCCCTCCCTGCTGTTCCGTTGTGCCCTGGAGAACCACGTCTGGGTCTGTATGGATAGCATCGTGTGTTTGGGTAGAGATTATGATTTTTACTCCTGCTCGTACCAGACTAGTAGATTTACACAATTTTCTGGGTTCTATGAAATCCAAAAGGGACCCCTGACTTTTTTGTTTTTACTTTATGTATGTGTGTGCTGTCCAGCATGGCAGCCACTAGCCATAGGTAGCTATTTAAGTTTAAATTCAAATTAGTTAAGCAAAAGTTTAAGTCCAGTTCCTCAGTCACACCAGCCGGCTGCAGGAGTTCAATCAGCGGGTGGGACTAACGGCTCCTGGATTAAGTGCGGACGATGGGACGTTTCCATCAGAGCAGAGAGTCCTGTTGAACAACTGTGAGACTTTGCTACTCAATGCTTGAGGAGCGGGGGGAGGGAGTTTCAGAGCATCCGGGAGAAAGACAAGTGGCAAACAAAAGCTGCTCTATAACAGGTTTTTTCCTCACATTCTTCACAGGGTAAAACGCTTCTCAAAGGAAATACTTACCTCAGAGGAAAGCTTGAGGTTCCCTGCATTAACACGTTGCAGTAGAAGGTTCCCCCCAAGTGCACGCAACTGCTCAGCCACTTCTCCCTTTTTAGCACGTTGTCAGGGACACAAGGTGGCCCCTGCTTAGCCAAGGAGCCAAGACCCCTTTCCTGCCTGACTCCATACTGTGTGGGAAGGTACCTATGGAAAAAGCCCGAGATCAGAAGCTTTCACAGCACTTTGTGACTTCTGAGTTAGCGGGAAAGAAAATTCTTATCACTCTCAATTTGCCATTCATGGTTCTTCTACTAAAAGGAGAAAAAAGAAACCCTTGGATAAGACAGATGCTTTCCTAGACCGTGGATTGCATTCTTTTCTGTCCTGCCTAGTGGGGTCTCCGTGGCGGAGCTGGCAGCAGGTGGGGACAAGGGCGGCACCCGGGGCACAGATTTAGGGAGACGCTCAGGCTCAGGTACCGACCTTACAGGGGTCCGAGAGTGATTGTCTCCTTCAATTTTGTGACCTGGGCGCCTGGCTCGCCTCGCCCAAGCCCGGCCGAGGCTGGCTCTGTTTGAGCTCAGGTACCACTGCCCCTAGCAGGCTCACTGTGTGGTTCTGGGAATTCTGGACTTGTGCACAGAGGCACCTTTGCACTGTGTCTACACCTCTTCCCTTGGTGGAACCCCTCAGGTGCCGGGGCGGGGTAGCTCTTTGTTCTTTGAATGCCTGGTCCAGAGCAGGGGGACAGATGAGTGGCTCACAGATCATGGAGCAAATCAGTCCACCAGGATCAACTCCGTGAACAAGAGTCAAGAACTCTCCTGACTTAGACTTTTCCATGAACGGTCCAGAGAATGGCCTGCGCTGTCCCCTGCCAAGCCTCACATTCCAGCACAGCCGAGTCCTCTCATCAGTGTGGCTGTGGTGGTTCTGTTCCCCCTACTTGTCCTTACCCAGAGCATCCGTCACCTCCAGCACCAGGCTGTTACTGTGCTAGAAAGCTCGGAGGATGGTGTCACCTGTCTTCCACCCCTGCTTCCCCCAGAGTCCATGTCACATGTCACGCGGCAGCTGGACTGTCCTGGGATCAGGTGGCGGGGCCTGGGTATGCCATGACCTGGGGAGGAATGGGGCAGAGAAGCAACCGCCTGGGGCTGGGAGGCTCCTTTGTGAACTCAGTGTGACACGCTTCCCCTTTCTCGTCCTGCAGAGCGTCCTGAAGAAGAGGGACCAAGTGCAAGCGGAGTACGAAGCCAAACTGGAAGCTGTGGCTCTGAGGAAGGAAGACCGCCCCAAGGTCAGGGAGGCTCCCCGGGAGGGCTGGGCCCTCGGGGCTGCAGCTGCAGCTACCCCACTGGTGCCAAGTGAAGTCTTGTCCCTAGATTCGTGCGGCTCAGGTGGTCAGGCCCAGCTGGGCTGTGTTCGTGCTGTGACTGTCCTCCATTTGTTCTCTTTGATGTCGTTTTTCTGGAACTTTCTAACGTGTACTTGGGGTTTTCTGCTGTTTCCTCAGGGTTAGTTTGTTTTGTTTTTTGTTTTTTGGAGGTTTTTTTTTTTTGTTCGTTTGTTTTTTCTGGTTTGGTTTGGTTTTGTTTTGACTTTCAGCTTTGCCATGCAGGGGCAGTTCCTCACTCTGTAAAATGGGATTGAGGAGAAAGGGGGAAGAACCAGTCTAGATCACTGTTCTCAGAAGTGTGGTCTGCTGACTCATCCGCTGTTACTGACCCATGACAAGAAAGGTGTAGAAGCTGAGGGTCAGCGCTTTGATAGCAGGTTGATAGTTGTTGAACCCGCAGTGGGAGTGTTGTCCAACTAGCTCATGTGGAGCAAACTGCTTACCAATCACACATAGTAGGTCTACGACTTTGTCATACTGGGGGAAAAAAGCCAACAGGTAGTGGTCCTTTGCCACAGTCTAAGAAGCACTGACTGAGTATATTTAAGGGCCCTGGATCCGGACAAAGGATCCTGTGGTAAACCCACACATCCCTTGTGTTGCCCTCTGCCATTTGTTGCCTTTTTCTCCCCGGGGTTAAAACAAGAGAAAAACAAGATTAATAATAGCTAACATTCAAGTTGGGCATGAAGCTGTTTACAGTATCTCACTGATTCCATACAACCGTCATGCGCTTTGGGTACGATCATTATTCCCATCTGAGAGATGAGCAAACCACGGCCCAAGATCTCAAAGTTAATAAATGTTGCAGCTTCTGACTTTGGAACGGTGCCAGTCAGCCCTGTGTTACTGTGCTCCTTTTTGGGTGGTCTTTGGAAGACTTGTATTTGGAAGGTGTAACTGGAAGGTGTGTTTGTTTTCAGAGAAGAGATGGGGGGAGGGAATGTTACTGAAAAGATTAAAAAAAAAAAGATAAACCACAGGGACGCGGGGCTCAGGGAAATGGTTTGGCGGCAGAACGGTTTGTCTCCCTCTGCCCTGGTTCTGGCTGCCGGTACAGCTGTGCCGAGACACACCTGGCAAGGAACCAGCTTTGGAAATTTGAAACCCACACCTCAGAAATGGCACACCTTGACTCCATATAGTGTATGTGTGTGTATGTGTGTGTATATGTATACACACACACACACACACATATCTATTGCTTCCCATGATCACCACAATAGCCATCTGTGGCCCAGGGGGAAGGCATTGTGGGTGAGGAATGAGCCGCAGAGCAGCTCGGTAAATTGCCTAGCTCTGTGGGTACCCAGTGTGCAGCAGGCGTACAATCCACGTTTGTTGCTTTGGTTCATGTGTCCCCCATAGTGACCTACACAAGAGTGAAGGTACAGCTGATGGAGAGTCAGGTGATAGGGACAGGGACTCTTGTCACTGGCCTGGTGTGTGCCACCGCGACATGGCCAGAAGGCTAGGCACCTCTCATCTGTTCCTCTCACCACAGGTTGGCCTGCTTCTGTCCTGTGTGTAATGAGGGGCCCATGGGGACCAGCCACACCCTGTCTTCCAGCTGCCTGTTCCCTCGACTAGTTCTGAGCCATTCCTGTGATATTCTGGAACACGATGCCATTTAAAGGCATGACATGAAATACTGTGTTTATATATTTCGAACTTTCTTTTTTAGTAGGCTCCATGCTGGGCTTGAACTCATGCCCTTATTAAGATTAAGAGTTGGATGCTTAAGCCACCGAGCCACCGATGCGCCCTATGAGATTTCATTCTAACAATTTCGCTTTCCGACATAGATATACAAGTCACTTTTCCTGGTGAGGGAGGAAGGGAGAGACAGCAAGTTCTGCCTCTGGCCTAGTTGGGGAGATGAAGATCTTGTATTTAAAAGGTGTTCCGGGCACCTGGGTGGCTCAGTGGGTTAAGCCTCTGCCTTCGGCTCAGGTCATGATATCAGGGTCCCGGGATTGAACCCCGCATCGGGCTCTCTGCTCAGCAAGGAGCCTGCTTCCTCCTCTCTCTCTGCCTGCCTCTCTGCCTACTTGTGATCTCTGGCTCTCTCTGTGACAAATAAATAAAAATCTTTTTTAAAAATGTTAAATAAATAAAAGGTGTTCTGTCAGCATTCATCCCTGCTCAGCACCGAACACAAGCTTTCTCAGAGGCTGGTTTGTCATTTAATATGTGTTCCACTCTGTATGGAACAGTTCCTTTGTAAAGACAGGAGCTGAAGGTTATGACTAATAGGCCCAGTGGAATGCTGACTGCCTTGGCGTGCTGGCTGCCTAAGGTCGCACCACCTGGGAGCAGATGGGGCCGAGGCAACAGTGGTTTCTGGCACCCACGTTCCACCCAGCCAAGCTGCTGGGCTCCTGCCTCGTTGCTGTATGCTCCCTGCCGGCCTGGGTGACTCCTCTTCTCCTCCCTGTGGGTGTTGAAATCTTCTTGCTGCTGCTATTTCCACCTTCCTAAAGCATCACCTCCCTTGACCACAGGAGTTCTTAGAAGAGGGGGAAGGGTTTCTTCTCAGCCAGTGAGACTAACCAGGACATCTGAACATGCCTACATTCTCTTAGCACACTGTGGGGAGGCAGTCTTGGTCTTCCCTCTCTCTGGTGGGTTGCTGAGCCATGCCCATGTTAATTTTGCCCTTAGTTAGATGGTGGTAATTAACCAAACGGGCTGTCAGTTGCTGGTGCACCAATGAGTGTCATCTCATGGTGGGAGTGGCAGAAATTGTGCTACCAGTTTTGAATCTGAGACAGCAACTACGTTGGGGGGCAGCGGAGGGCTCCGTTGGTGGCCTTCCCCAGTGAGTAAGGGTTTGGTTGAAAGAGCACAGGATTTAGACCTAGACAGCCCTGGGTTCAAATCCCAGCTCTGTCCTCCAGCTTGGACTGGTTTGCTCATTAGCCCTCATGGGCTTCCTGCTGTGAAGGTCAGCATAGTGTCTGATGTAGAAACAGGCTCCGTGGAGGGGCCTCGGCTTCCCATTCCAGCTCCACCTGTCTCCAGGAGGAATTCTGACTGCGAACTTTTGTTTTTTCCTGGTCTGTTGCCCTTTTGGCTTTTTTTTTTTTTTTTTTTTAATTTTGCTTATTTTTTTTTTTTTCACTGCATTGTTTGGGCATGGTGACCTTGTGTTCTAAAGTTTCCCCTTCCCAGCCCTCCTGAATGCCTGTCCTCCATAGCAGCCCATCAGCAGGTGAATGTTTGCTGTGTTTTGTTGTTTTATCTGGTTTTGAGCTCTGCTGAGAGCTGCTATTGGCAAGAGAAGGCAGGGGGTCAGGAAGTGGGTCAGGGCAGATTCTTACCCTAAAGACCCAGTGGGCCCTGCTGTCCATGACGAGAGCAGGAACAAGACTGCTCACAGGTTGGATGGGGCACCCAGGTGGCTCAGTCGGTGCAGCGGCTACCTTTGGCTCAGGTCGTGATCCCAGGGTTCTGGGATCGAGCTCCAGGTTGGGCTCCCTGCTCAGCAGAGAGCCTGCTTCTCCCTCTCCCTCTACTTGTTGCTCTCTCTCTGTCAAAGAAATAAAATCTCTAAAAAAAAAAAAAAAAAAAAAAAAAGATTGCTCCACAGGTTGGTCCCGGGGATGCTGGGAAGTAAAGGATTCTTACCTGAAGACGGGCAGTTTTCACAGGGCTCTGGGCACGTTAACAACATCTGAGGGTCTTAGCAAGCCTAGGGGCTTGCCTTGTTTTGAGGCTGAAGTCTTGCAAAGTTGCTCTAAAGAGAGAGGGAAAGTTGGTTTCTGTGAAGCCGGTGGAGTGGTATCAGAATCCGATCACTTCTCCAAAACCCAGCAGAAAGAAATGGCCTTGTGGGTCTCCACAGCCCCCTCTATGAATTTCACACCAGAGAGGCCACGTGAAGAGGAAGGAGAGGTGTCCTGTGGCCCCCGCTGCTGACTGTGGCTAGGCCGTGCGCAGGGATGGGCCTAGAGGATCACAGAATTCAAAGTTTTGCTTTGTTTTTAGGGTTGAGAAAAGTCAGCAGAGCCTGAGGGGGTTTCTTCTCAGGCGAGGGGACCTTCAGATTATGTGGACTTGGCTTGTCTCATTTGAACTTTGAGGTCAGAGCAGTGACAGGCACTTAGTGGGCTGCCTTACAATGCGCTTGTCAGGGCCCCAGACTCGTGTAAATCTTCACATGTGACCCCTCCCCAGAATCCAGAGCGGGTATCAGAGCTGTTACTAAACACAATAAGGAATTCCATTTAAAATTGGCTGGGAAGCTCACACACTAACCTGAAAAGTAAGAGTAAACCATGGAGGGAAGTTGCCCGTTTTACTCCATTCTGTGATGGGCTCTTTTCAGTGCTAATCTATTCGTGTGATTCCAGAAAGAACAAAGGAGGGGTGCCAAGGGAGAATACAAAAATCTTACAGTTATCTTCAAATGATAAAAAGAAGCAGGGGAGTTGGGGAAGGATGATGTTTTAAGGCCTGACCCATAGGTGGCCTTGTCGTAGGTCCGGCACCAGGTGAAGAGGCTGCTGGAAACACGTAGTGTTGTCTTGGAGGTGAGAAGGTGCGTCACGTGGAAGTGGGTAGGAGCAGAGAACATGATGTACTGAGCTGTTGCTTCCTTGACTGAGCAGAAGTAGGGAAGGGAAGTGGAACTCGGGATCGCTTGCGCACACCTTGAAGACCATGGACCTTTCAGAACTCTTTGGACCCCCAGCATAGTGACCATTCTGGGCCGGGGAATGTGGCCGGGAGCAAGAACTCTAGTTCTAAAGCAAGATGGGGGCAAGGAGACTTCTTCATGTGGAACTTCTACAGACCCGAGAGTTTTGTGAAGTCATCTTCAGACATGTCAGATGAGTGAAGAGAGACGTGCCTGATGTCTCCCCATTCTCTCCACGGTGGCCGCCATCCCAGCTTGG